AATAAAATATACTTGTCCTACTATAATTTATTGCACTAGTTCACCAGCAAACCTATAGTCGGGAGTCCGAGTCAGTAGTCGAGTCAGAGTCGGGAGTCTGTGGTCTGACACGGGCTTTACGCAGATCGCCGTCAATTAAGCGAGAGCTCGACGAAATGCCGGATGAAGGGAAAACGCGTGCAGCCCGACAGGCGCGATGAGCGCAGTTTAAACGCGCGTTATCGTTATTTACTCGTCATATCGATGCCACATATCCGCGCATATCACGTGTGTAACAATAAACGAAGCAGGGGAAGAGCGTGGACTGGCGTCACAAGTTCACATGTACCGTAACACACTTTCATACGATTTTTAACATCCGCGAGAATATTACTGATCGATTTTACAATTTGCGCGTCGTTCGGGGAAGAGCGAACGTGTGATGCTCCGGCTCGTCCACACATCTCGACCGTCCGTCGCCAGCGGGACGTGTCGACACATCGCCAACGGTCTCTCAACGATATCGTCCAGGTGCTTTGAACGTTTATTCGCGAATTTCCACCTTTCCGCGACTACGTCACGAAATCTCCCAGCACCGTTTCAATCGTGGCCTCGCTATTGTGATTATTTGATCGGTAAATAAAGTTCATATCTGTCGAAAACGATTCTAAGCTCCGTTGAAAAGAAATACTCGTAAAATTGTAGCACTTGTCATACAGAGAATATTTCTACGCGCGAAAGAATTGGTGGACGAATATTTGCGCTGCACAGTGAGAATTTCTGTCGCTCGCAAGTAAATTTATAATCCCGCGGAATTAATGACACCTCGATTAAAATGTGCAATAGTAAAATATCAATCTTTTATCACGTGAAAACTGCCTTCCGGAAACGTTTAGGACTTACGATGCACGTCAGGTCTCGTGTGCACCCCGAGCAACGCAAAAGTGTCGCTCGATGGGAATTTAATCAGCTTGCGTTTGAATTATATGTTCATGTTTAATCGTGAAATTGAGCCAAGGACTACGCGAAACGTTTTGCAATAAAGTATACGGTGAGAATAATCTCAGGTTTCATCGCTCGGTAAAGATCTCCGAGGCACGTTTCTCCGTGGAGAAACATGCGAAACGTGTGGAAATTCGCGTGAGCGCCACAGCACGCGTGCGTTAACTTTTGCGACGAAGCGACAAGGCAAGCCGTTCGGGAATCGCGCGATCGCGATCGAAACGCGTCCCGGCAGACGGACTCGATAGTGATAGGGAACTACTTGTATACCGATTAGAAATAGCGCGAATGGACGCGTTTGTTCGATCGATCGATCGATCGCGCGATTGATCGCGCCGAACGACGGCCACGAGCGAACAACGGGGAACTTCGGGCCGCTTGGTATAAGATAATTCAGCGCTTAAAAAGCCGAAAGAGAGGAACACTAATTATATCTCCGTAAATATCCTATAAATATATCCAAAACAAAAAAAAAGATAACCAAAGCATTGTAACCTTCTAGAGGCAAAGAAGAAATAGCGAAGTACCTAATCTTATATGATTTAGTTCGACCACTGATTTGTCCGTGTGTGTTCGTTACTGAAATATATGTTTCTTTAGTAAAAAAATTTTGGAAAATTTACACCCGCGTGCGTGATTCTTCCCCCCCCCCCCCCAACCCGCCAGCGTTCCCCGTTCCTTTCTCTTGTCATGCGAGTCAACGTATGTATGTGCAAGCGAATAGCGTGCTGCGTCATATTTATTATTTTGCCAAACATGAAATCTTCTAGGTGGCCAGTAATAATTAACAAATTAAGTATACTTTATTATTTGACCGTGACTGGCAAAAGGTTTCGTTTCTTTATTTAAAAAAGCTCAACGAAAAATACGCTGGCGTTTTTAAATAAAAAGAAAATTTCTGCCAGTCATGGTCAAATAATAAAGTACACTTGATTTGTTTATTATTTTGTGTGTCGAATTTAATTCTCAAGCTAAAAAGTAAAAATGTCAGCGAGAAGAATTTCCCGTAACTACAAGATTTCATCGCACATTAGTACTTTTTATATAAATGTTATATATATGTATAAAATTTTATCAAGTAGAAATCGAAATATATTAGTTACTGCAAGATTTCATCGCACATTGGTACTTTTTATATAAATATTATACATACATATGTACAAAATTTTATCAAGTAGAAATCGAAATATATTTGTAAGTGATATTATATACTTCATTTAAAATATGAAAATTCTGATTAAATTTAATTTGCAAGTTGCTTAACGAAAATATGACGCAGCTATAATAGATTGCATAAATTAATTCACTCACCGATCGCTGCTACCGCCTTTCCGGAAGCTTTTGGAAATACAATAAACAACATTATTCACAAATATAAATACTATTTATCAAGCTACTGCTTTAATTGGAGATTTATAAAATATTTTTATATGTAATAGATTTGTTTTATATTCTCTTAATTTTCAAACGTAACATTTCAACTCAATTTTCTTTATTTACAATAAATCGAAAAATTATTGGGATAGCAAAAAATTAAGCACATTTAATATGAAAATAGTTCACCTACAATTCCATATAATTTAGTGGTGTACTGTTCCTTTCACATTTATAAATATTATACGAATATTGAATTTTACCAGTTATTCCTAAAGTCGTCCCTTTTACCGACACATTCGAATACAGTTTTTGCGCTGGTAAATGTTTCTATTAGTTCTTATGCACAAAATAATACCAAGATAAGTTGCGGACCGCATAGCAGAACATTTTCATACATAAAACACTCAGGTCAGAAGTCTAATGAAGAAGATATTGGTATTTGTAATTTTATAAAGCAAATTTTTTAAATTGTTCACGATTAAACAATTCTAAATTTCAAATACCAATACCTTTTTCATTAGACTTCTGACCTAGCTAAGTCTTTTAAATATGAAAATACTCTGCTATGCGGTCCGCAACTTATCCCGGCATTATTTTGTGCACAAAAGCTAATAAAAAGATTTACCAGCGCAAAAATTACATTCGCACGTGTCGATAAAACAGATGACTTTAGAATCCTCTTAAATTGCCAAAAATACGAGCGCGGAGGCGCGCAAACAGCAATTAATTAAAAACTACACTCACCGAGCTCCCGGATCGACGCCGCCTTTTCGCCAAGAAGAATCCAGCTGCCATCTCGTCCCTCGCCAGCTAACAACACTCGCCCGATATTTTATTCGGCACTCCCGGCGTTGCGCGGATAAAATAGTATCGTACACGAGTGCGAGTAACACGCGCGAAAGTTTCATACGTCGCGAAGCGTCTAGTATCTCACGAAAGCGATTATTTCTACGCACCACACTCTCATTCGCGCATTAAAACGCTCGTCCGCGAACAGTTCATCACTCCGGATATCGTATCCACGCGAAACTCGCGCCTGGAAAACGCCGAAAGCACGGAGCGTCCGATCCGCGTCGAAGTAGCAACCGTTATGGCGTCGCAAGGGTAGCCGGGTGGTCACGTGACGTCACGCTTCGTACTAGAGCTACTAGATAAAGGGGAGCTGACTCGTCCGCCATCTTGGAGCCCAAACGTTTGACTTCGACAAATGCATTTCGGCACAAGATATGAATTTCTTGTTCTAAATTTATTGTTAATAAAATCCAAATTACGTTTTTGTTTTTAG